AAGCGAGCAATAAATTCCCACAGGCAAAAGTGCGAGTATGCAATGCTGGTTGGACAAAAAAGTACATGACTAGAAGAATCACTCTCCACGATGCAGAATCTGACATGTGAAAAACTCCTTCAAAATAGCCGATACAATTCAAAGAAGTTCGCAGCAAACATTACGAATCTAGAAAAATGGAGGGTTCAAAATGCCCGTGGCTGCTGCAGGAGGCTCTTTTTTTTTGCTGCTACAGCAAAAGGTGGGTGGTGGTGTGAAACCAAAAGGTTGATGTGGAGGTGGTAGTGGTGTGTGGATGTGTGGTAGTGGCGTTATAGGTCTGGTGGAGTGGAATTGGTGGACCAGGCCAGTCCTTTGACAATGGCGTGGTCCGGGTGGATCACCCAGCAGCGGCCTTTCTGATGAAAGACTGCACCATGGTGGTCGTTAAGGAGGTTCATGGCGTGTTCCTCTCCTCCAGAGGTATACTTTGTGGCAGCACCCCACGCAAGGAGTGTGATGATAAGGGAATGGGAATTCTTGTTGAGTTGCCAGGTATTGTGGATGATGCGAGCAAGCTCGTTGTGGTCATGGGGTTGGTTGTGGGTGATGCGAACGCCCTGGGCAAAAAATCCAGGGTATTTGGCAAAGTGGAGTGTGCTGGGTAAAAATCGGCCTTGGCGTAGAATGTTGGTAATGTTGCCGACAGGGCCCGTGTGGCCTGCGTTGATGTGGGCGACTTCCCGGTGGGTTGATGTGGCTCGGGAGACCGCAGGTGGCTTTGGTGTAGTGGCTTTGGTGTTGAGGAAGGGAAGTGAAATGGCATAGTACTGGAATTGGTCGTATTGGTGAGTTGTGTCATTCCACTTAGCGTGGGTATATTGTCGGAAATCGGTGATCTCCTTGTAGGTGATGTTGCAGTCTGTGAGGATATTGGCAATGTACTGGTGGTGTGGTCGGTTGGGGTTGTCAAGTTGGGTGGCGTGGAATTCGAGCCATTCCAGGATTTGGTCTGCAGGTGTGAAGGTGTGAAAGTTGGGTGGAGGTCGCCAACGGTTGATTGGGCGACGAATGACAGCTGTGGTGGGATATTGTGAAGGGTCAGTGTTGGTGTGTTCGGTGTTTGGGCGTAGATCAATGGGTTGTGGTGGTGACCGACTGCGGGATGGTGTGAGGCTAGATGTGTAGGTGGATGTTGAGGGCGACCGCCGTCGCCGGGTTTTGCTGTGGTGTTTGGAGTGGCGGTGATGCCGATGTCGGCGGCGGTGGCGGTGGCGTCCTCTGTGGTGATGGTCGGACTTGCGTCGGCTCTTGTGGCGGTGACGGCGACTGCTGTGTGGTGGTGGCGGGGAAGGTGGTTGCGGTGCTGGTGAGGCAGCGGTGTCAGGTTTGTCTGGTGCTGGTAGTGAAGTTCCAGGTGCTGGTGTGGCAGATACCAGCGAGGGGGATGCTGAATGTTGGGATAGGGTGGCTGGTGGAGGTGTGTTTTGGACTGGTAGTGGATTGTCCTGGGCAGTCGTGGGGATGGGTTGGATCGGTGGTGTTGGATCCGATGGTAGCTGCTGTTGAAGTGGAGGTTGGGTTGGCGTTGAGGCATTGGTAATTTGTGGAGGCGGTGGCGGGGGCCCCGGTTGGAGTGGAGGCTGTGTGACGGGGGGAAAAGCTGAATAGGGTTGCCAAACGCCCTGGGGGATGGCGCATTGGGGATCTGTGGATGGATAATTGGCAATCGCAGTCTGTTGCTGTGTTGGAGGGGGATGTGTCAGTGTAGTGGGGGGAGGAAGTTCAGCTGGTGGTGTGGGATGAGGTGGTGGCAGTAGGTAGGACGGGGGAGGTGCTGCTGTCGGAAACACGGGAGCTGGATGTGTGGGTTGCGGTGGCACGTGACATGGGGGGACAAAAGTCCAAGTGGATGGTGTGCCGTAGGTCAGTGCAGTGGCGGTAGGGGCGGATAAAACCGGTTGTGGTTGAAATGGTTGTGGTTGGGGGTGAGGGTATGCCGATGGTTGTGTCGAGGGAAAGGTGGGTGCAGTTGATGGTTGTGGCATCGGCCATGTGGGTTGAGGTTGTGTGGCAGGTAGTGGTGGTGGCGTGGTGTGAGCGTAGGGCCACGGAAAATGCATGTCGTGGTCGTAGCTATGGCTCGGCGCGGCGCGGCAGCAAAATGCAGCGGAGAAGTGCCGAGTTGTATTGTCTTGTTGTTGGTCATTGTTGTTGAAGGTGTCATCTCTGGTGTCAGTGGTGAGTATGTTGTAAGGTGGTGTTAAATGTAAGCTTGTTAGTAGGTGTGTGTTCATGCATCTCGAATTAAGCTGAAGAGTCGTAATGCCCATCCTTGAGTTCTGTCAATGAAAGAGTCGCGGCAGCAACATAGCGAACAGGGAAACACGCACATGATTGGAAAACATGAAAAGAAAACTGAATGCTGAAATCTGAGATCAGAAGTTCGGAATCTGAAGGATTCTTCAAGAACCGTTTTTTGGCCCGGCGGCCGGTGTGGCGGTTGATTCTGTGAGGGTGTCGGTGCCTTCCTGTGATGTTCCAGTGATCGGTGGAGCGTTGGGGTGGTTGCTTTCCCATGCAAAAACAGCGCCCCTGTGAAGGGGATCACACTCAGCACCCGAGTGGGACGGCTGAGCAGGACACACTTCGAACTTGAATTCTTCAGTTAATGCAAGTATCACGTTGGGAAGGAAGGCGAGGGAACGGAAAGGTGCATAAGTCCGCAAAAACTGTATTGTTGAACAGTGTTGGCAGCTGGACTCGAAAACGATCGGACACTCTGCGCGGCCTCAAGTCTGCTGCAAGTCTGCGGTGGGGAAAAAAAGGTTTGGGGGTGGTAGCATGAAGAACCATGGAAACAAACAAGGCAAATTAGACAGCGTGGTCAAAAGTTCAGGTAGCAGGTACACGGAAGTGATCAGCTTCCGCTTCCTAGGATCTTGCAAAGAGCTTCGTTGGGCAGAGCTTTGCAAGTCCTCTCTGCCCCCCTGCTTGCGAAAGGTGGTGGTGGAAAACCCTTTGTCCAGGGGTGGACACACACACACACACACCGGCCAGGTGAGATGGAGCCCCCAGAGCAAGCCATTCGACGAAGCTACCGCCGCAATCGGGAGCGGAGCAGTAGGGTTCAACTGTGGAGGGGTTTGGAGCTGTGGCGGGGGTGGATGAAACATCCGGTGTTTTGGGTGAGTGGGCTCATGTTTGGCAAGACGTTTGGTTTTGGATGGTTTATGATGTGTTTGGTATGTCTTGGTTTTGCACATGTTGGCAGTTGACTGAGTTGACTTAAAATTAAGACACTTTGACTCTCAGCAGCCCCTCCCTATCGCGCAAGGTCTTCAAAGATTAAAAAACCCGAAACGGGGTCTCCACTGACACCAACCTCAAGCTTTCACACCTCACACCTTCACTAACATTCTCCAAGGCAAAGCGGCAAAACGAAAAAATCAACGCAAGCCGTCCAACATGCCAAACGACCCCCGCCAGGAGCTTTGCGAGCAGCTGACCCGCTCGGCGCGGGAGAGCTTGGTGGCCATCCTGGAGGACAGGCGAGGCCAAGCGACGGGGGCAGGAGCTGCCATCGGAGTTCCGACATCGATCGCCTTGTCCCCGGGGGAGGAGGAGAAACAACAACAACTACGTAGCACAAGGGAAAGACAGTGTGTGTGGGTGGGGGTTGTTTTTTGATGTTTCTTTTTTGTGATGCATTTAGTTGGCAGTATTGCACGGTACTTGTTCTTTTGAATGGCAAGTTGACCTTTGGACTCTCAACGGACAATTGAAGATTGACATATCGGTTTCCGGGTTCACCCTGCAGGGCAGGCTGTGAACCCACCCATGGTTACATGCAGGTGACCTAGCCAAACCAGCCATGAATGAAGCTGCGGGACAGAGTAGTGAGCTAGCGGTACTTGTTTTCGGAAATCTGTGCCGTGGCTATCCCGAGACATCCTGCGACCAAATTGCACCATGTTGTTCTCGCAATGGGTTGTTTCAATCTCAAGGGATCCAGTCGTGCCTTCTCAGAAGCTACGACTGGACCCTCCTGGCACCTTCTGAGAAGGTACGACTGGATCCCTAGGGAATCTCTGCGGTTCGGGCAACTTGCTCCAAAGCTGTGGCGACTTGGAGCAGACCCGACCATTTGCTTCTCGTCACCCGACGAGCCATTGGTGGTCGAAAGACCTTCCAATGTGGCTGCGCCAGGTGGCTGCCGGAGGCCAAACGTCGGAGGATGGAGCCGGAATGAAAAAAATCAAGAGTGCATTGCCAGCATAGCTGAGATCACCAGACGATCATCAGATTGTGGCGAGTTGAGGAGACAGCTGAGGTTTGTTTCCATCAAACAGTTGACGCAGTTCCCTGGTCCAAGTGTGGCTGGACAAAGTGGACAGAATCAATCAAGAATCCGTCAAAACCTGCGAAAAAGGACAAGTATGGACAAATGATGACACATGGTTAGGAACATGAACTGTCATAAATTGCTCAGCCACAAGCGTGGATGTCAGTTCCTGCTCCAGCCATTTCAGGCTCGTTGAGGGCAAATGGCCAAAAAGTCGAGCTGTCCAGATGGATGCCATTGATGCACTTAAACAATTGACCTTCATACTTGACAACCGTTACCTTTTTTACACATAAATCATTTGAACCAGCATGCCTTAGAGACATGGGGCACATCAGACTACACCTGGGGCACATCAGACTTGTTCGTCCATGCTGTGAGTTGTGGTTCCTGTGAGTCACCTTCTGGGCACAAAGCCCAGCTTCTTCCATCTAGGCATCAATGCAGTTGAAGACTCTTTTTGGAGCTTTGCTCAACTCCATTTGTTCATCTGGAGTTTTGCTCATAGGTTTGTGTGAGGAGTTTGTGCTCAGAGTGGTGAGCAATGATGCTATGAAGTTTACTTTGCGACCTTCTACATGGTCGTTGTCATTATGTAGTACGTGATATTTACGACCAAATAGGGACCCCGACCCCTCACCCTGAATATCAACGATGATCAGGTAAGTCTTTTTGTCTCCTGCCTAGCCGCTGTCTAAAGCTGGCCAAGATCTATCGAAGACCGAGCGATGCGCCAAAGTAGCCATGTCCTGGGAGAAATGCCCACGGTGTTCCAGGTCTTTGTGACGCTTGGGCTTTGTATACAGGGATCAAGTTTTGCTAGAGGAACACCCACAGGCAAAGTCGATTTGCACCATCCACACTACAGTGACTACAGTTTGGAAGCTAGACACCATCATTTGGCCAGGGAAGGTGTTCATTGGAGGTCACCAATGCCATCCACCAACCGCATTCCAACTGCGCAACTCCTGAGATTGAAGCATTGGACACATGTCCCGTGCCAAGGATGTGGGAAGTGAATGAAGATCCCCAACTTGTAGTGTTTCCGGAAGCATCCTTTTCCAGTGTCTATGTTCAGGATCCACGCCCATTTTCAGGCTAGACCCAGCTATCACAAGGCACTCCATCAAGACATTTGGTGCTCAGGGTGCCGCGCAGCTCAGCTCAGGAAACGTCCTGAGCCGATTCAACATGCGGAGGAGTGTCCTGGGTGCGCATATTAACCTCTGGCCTAGGCCCCAACCTAGTTGATCTGATGATTATGGTCCAGTACACAAGGGTTGTAAGTGTTGATCTTGGTTGGCTTGGGATTTTGACCTTCGGGCCAGCCACTGACAGGCCTGAGCAGGTGAGCATGTGATTTGCACAATTTGCACTCCCTGAAATCATCCATGGGCCACCGGCCACCGAAGACTTGGATACCATGCTGGAGCACGGCCCTCACTTGCTGCGGAGCCATGCGGAGCCATGAGATACTCGCAGTGTTTCAGCTCGCTTACCCCAGGGCCCCTCCACCAGCATGAAGACTTTGAAGAGCTCTTCCTCAAGAGTTTCATGAGTTCTTCCACCGATTCGCTTCGGTTCTTCTGCAGGTTCGTTCGACACCTCGGTCGGACCGGCTCTCCTCTTCCGTTCTGAACGGCTCGGTCTTGGTCCCATGGCTCCACGAGATGAATGGCTCCATTTCGTATGACTTGGGTTTGTCATGGTTTGTCCCAAGACCTCTAAGAGTTGGTCAAGAATGATCACGAGTTTTACAGTAAAGGCCTTTACAAACCATCCTCATCCTCATCCACTGGTACTGGAATAGACCCCAGAAATTCCAACCATGTGCCAATGTCGATCACCCCCCAGATCTCCACGGCGGAGGACTGCGCGAAGATGCACTGCTTCGAGCAGCCCGAGCAGTCGCAGTGCCGCGGCTTGTGTCGGCGGCAGCGGGAGATTCACAACGTGGAGCAGATCCAGCGCGGTCCTCGGTGACGAAGTCGAGGGTTGCTTCATCCCGTCCCCACCGCTGCAGTGCCGGTGCCGGTGCTGTTTGGGCCGACTTCTGAGGAGACTTCTTCGTTCATCCTCGGAACCAGGCGGAACCCCTCCCCCGTCCAGAAATTGTCATGACTGAGCCAGTTGAAAATGGTCCAATCGTTGGGGGTGTGATCATCCTGATGCGAGTTCCTGGTTTTGCTTAATGGTGATTTTGGTGAATGTTTGTTCAAGGTTCCTTAAGCAAATCCAAGAGTTGCAAGTGAATTTGCAAGCGTAGCATGTATCATGACATGGTGATTGATATACTGCGGTTGGGGGCACTTACCAAAGTTCGACAGTGTGACGGTGCCTATTCTTGTTTCACCAAAGTTCAAGGAATAACATAGTACAACTATTATATACTGACTGCAAATGACATAGGCAGACAGAAATGACTAGCCCAAACATCTCAGCGTAGGTCATGAGACTCATCGTTTTTTCAAAGCCTATGTCATGTGGTTGAACCCAGGTCATTTGCATTTTGCTCATGTTACTACTCAAGCAATAGCTCTTTCGTTCAGAATGGGGGAAGTCAGCGGTGTACTTGTCTCATCGAGACTCCTTCCTTGAAGGCCATTGGCTAATGACCATTGTTCGAAAGGCTCTGAATGGATGGGTGCCAGGTTGAAATTCACCCTTGCAATTCCCTACGACTTCAAACAAGTCACAGAAGGCAGACCATGTCAAAGCAGTTATCTCCCATGGAGTGTGCGGGCCAGGGTAAGTTCTGGCTCAACCAGAACCCACTAATGAACGAATTGGATATGATATGGTATATGTCTCTTGAGGATGTTTGCATGTCTCTTGAGTCTCTCAGTCTCAGAACACCGGTCCTCGTCATATCGACATGGTCGTTGCAGATGGGTCTGGAACGCCCTCTTAGACTCCTGACAGTGAGATTTCGAGGGATGTTTCTGGCGAAACTTGGGACTAGCCATTATAGCTTTGCAATGAAGGTACATAATTAAGTATAAGTAGCACTATGGTAGTTGGTAGGTAAAGATAGATCTTCGCTAACTTTGAGATACTTCCTAGGATGGAGTATGCTTCTTCGCATGAGCTGGATGTAGCATGAGCTGGAGTCCCCCCAAAAGAGGGAGAAGTACATATGGCATATGGATATGAGCATATGTAACATACTAGATACGCATGTATGCGGAGTTCATACCCATATGTATGCGGAGTCCCTCAGGTTGCGTGCTTCTGGAGCCTACCGTGACTTGGACGAAGAAAAAACTCGTTCTTCACACAATAGTGGGACGCGCGCACGTCTCTCCGCATCTGGATGGGCATTTCAGGTGAGTTGAAAGCACCATCGGGCCTCCAACAACCGAAGTGCAAAACGACCTGTTAGATGAGTAAAGGAAAACCGTCTCCCGAAATCGGGGCCATGTTTTGACCCCCTCCATGTTTGTCCTTGGAGGGTATATCCCTATAAATAGCCAGTGAAAACGCCATATTGCAGTGGTTTCAGAAAATTTTTGACCTCCATTTGTCTAAGACATTTTAGGATGTAGTTGTGCCATTGACTCACCTCGTTTCCACGGCTTGAATGCCTCTTTGCCGGTCCCCGGGACACCGCCCACGTCCCTGCGGTTCGGCCCTCGGAGGAAGTCCTTTGCGTGTGAACGACTTCGAGACCAAGCTCGGGTCGCCCAGAGGACGAAGCGTCGCGGAAGACCCGGCGCTTGAAAGCGCGGGAGAGACGGGAGGTCACGTGTGTGTTTGGTGTGCTGCTTCTTGAGGAGCGAGGCATTTGCCGTAAAAAGGTGGTTGAGCAAGATCAGCTTTTTGAAGCTTCAATAAGCTGATCGTTTTGTTCTTTTGTGGTGATTGGGGCGGGGATTCTATAGGGTGGGTGGTTCTCTTGAGGTTTTTGCACATGTTTTTCACATTCCAACATGGCATGGCTGGCCAAATTGGCGCCAGGCTAGATAACAATTCATGGATGATCTCAGAGTCTTAGGTTGTATCATGGACACGGTTTAGACTAGTACCACTGTAATATACACTATTTTTACCGTATGCATATACTTAACCAAAGCATTTGGGATTAAAAGGAGCTCTTGCTTTCAGTTGACCTCCAAATGATATATTTATATGTGATAGCTCTAGTTTACACTTTACTCATGCACGTGTTTATATACTAATTACATCTAATTACATATAGTCACCTTTGTTTTGTGACTTTTTGTTCATTCCTCCTAGGTCGACTCAAAATTAGTACAACTTGTTGCGCTTTTTGTGTATTTTTGCTCCTGGTACTTTCGACTCCGGTTGGCTTCGTGTAGAGTGACGACCTCCTTGATGGTGAGGGAGTTCAACGACTCAAGATCCCTGCGCTACAAATCGAGATCCGGTTCTCTCGAGGATGTTTTAAATAGAATCCCTACCTCAACATCCATGAATCTAATGTGGACCTTTGATTTATAAACGACCCTAGAATAATGTCACTGTTATTCCTGCACAGATTTAAAGGCCCCCAGAATAATGTCTTTTTTGGGGGGGGGGGAGGGGTAGTTGTAGTGGGATATTTTTTAGTTTTCTTTTTCCCTTTTTGAGTTTGCTGGGATTTGCTTATCTTGCAGGCTTTTGGATGTAGATTTCTATTAAACAGTTGAAGATTTCCACTGAGATTTGATGCTTTTGGAGGCTTTTGGATGGAGATTTCTATTAAACAGTTGAAGATTTCCATTGAGATTTGATGCTTTCTTTATAAATTCCCGTATTCAAAAGTATTGAAAAACAAAAAATCAATCAAGCAAAGGGGGTAGTCCAGCAAGCAGCTTTCTGACACTATTTAGGGGGGGCCCCTAGAATAATGTCTAGAGATTTGAGGCTTTAAATCTGTGTTTCCTTTTCTTTGCCTTTTGATTTGCTTTACTCACCTCTATTCCTTATTTACTTTTCCTAAGCTCTTTAGTTGTGAAGCTTTCCAAAAGTTTCCAAAAGTCAGTGTGCACTTTCTTTATAAAATCCCTTATTCAAAAGTATTGAAAAAAAAATCAATCAAGCAAAGGGGGGTAGTCCAGCAAGCAGCTTTCTG